TTCCACGACCTCAGGGACACTAAATTCAACTGATATTCTCAAGTCCCTTATATAGAATGGCATAGTATTTGTACATAACCTTACATATCCTCCCATATAGTTTAAATCATATCTAGATTACTTATACCTAATTCAATGAAATGCTGCATAAATACTTGTTATATTGCTTATGGAATAATAACATAGAAAAATATTGGCACGTGTTCAATACAGATACAATTATTTCCTGAATATGTTTCATCTATAATTGGTTGAACTGGTAGATAAGGAACCTCTGGATATAGAAGGCTGATCATATATTCCCAGTTGATATGAAGTAAACAAAGGGGAGAAAAAGAAGAGCAGAAAAAATAGGACAGCTTTTTAGAGGAGGTAACCGTCTGCAGTGGGAAATATCAGGGGAAGAACATGTGGGCAGGAAATAGATGGTGTGCTCACAGAATTAAAAGTAGACCTGTGTGGCAGGTCCCATGGGAAGAAAGAGGAGGAGGCCTCACAAAACGCCCAGGAGGAGTCTGGGCTTTGTTTTGAGCACTTTTGTTCTTCTCAATCATATCTTTGAGTTTTGCATGGAAATGGATTGTAGAACAAAAGGGGGAACTGTGGGACCTCAACTGCTCTCTGATGATAAGTGGAACTCAAGCTCTGGCTCTGAAGATGGAGAGGAGAAGGCAGTTTCAGATTCAACAGGACTTACTAAGGAGATGAAAGTGGGGTAAAGGAGGGCTGGCAGTGTATAGATGACACTGAGGGGTTCTGCTAGACATGGGGAGTAGTCAGGTGCTCTGGTTACGTCCTTTGAAAGATATATTTAAGAGTACCTTCTCAGGTGGCAGTAAGTCAGCATTTGTAAAACTCTTAGGACAAGATTTGACACACAGTAAAACCCTGTAGATACTAGAATTAATACCATGATGGTGATTTCCTCAAGGTCACACAAGTGGTCAGCAACAAGTGCCAGAATAGAAGCCAAGGCCCAGCCTCTTGGTTGGCTGTATGTCATGCTATGCTGAGCTGCCTCCTGTAGTTACTTTTGACATTTTTTATGTAGACCCTTTGTAGAGCACCATCATAGTACATGAGTTACACTTACTGTAATATGAGTATTGCACTAATTTTTTTTGGGGGGGCACTGGGGATTGAACTCAGGACCTTGTACTTGTCAGGCAGGAATTTACGCTGCTGAACTATCTCCCCAGCAAGATGTTTTACTTGTTTGTTTTTAATTGCTAGAGTTTTGTATATAGCCTAGAATTCCAAATTATTTTTGCTATCCAGAAAACAGTGCCATTCCAGACAAAAACACAGGGGCTGGATAGTGGGAGGAAGGGTGTATTGGAAGAGTTATTCTCTGGTTAGGTTTTAAATATTAAAAGAAATACCTTCTAGGAGGCTAGAGTAGGCATATACACTCTCCAATGGGAGAGATGGTGTTAAAATACTCAGTACCAAAGTTATAGGTCACCCTGTGCCAAGAGAAGGAAAGAAAGAAAGCTAAGAATATTAGTTTAACTCCCCCAGACTGTCAGGTTTCTAGTGATACATCTTAAAGAAGTGTTTGAAGTGCTTCTGTCAGTTTCAACTAAGCTAATTTAAAAAAATTTCTTTGTACTGTGCCTTTTTCATGAACTTCTGGGAGTTTAATGCATACAGTATGTGGGGGAAAAGCCTGTCAGCCTCTGTGCCCATCCCCCGCAAAGTCTGAAAAGCAGATTTTAGAAGCAGAGGGTTATACCTGCAAGAATTTGCCATCTTACGAAATGGAACCTGAGACCATTTCAATGCATCCTACAGGAAAGAATTTCAGAAAGGGGTGAGAGAAAAGCCACCCCAGTCGTTGCTCCCTGGGATTGACTGCCTGTTTTGTTGCACCTCTATTTCAGACAGCATGGGGAGGACTGTTCCTCATTACCAGGGAACGTGAGTCATTCCCAGATTTCTGTGATTGAGATTCCAAAGCATTGCTGTATCCAATGGTCTTATTAAATCCAAGTGTCAGTGCAGCTTTTCAGACTGTAGGGGAGAGCTCAGTTACAGCTGCTGACCTGGTTCTAGTTACCACACAGAGACACTGGCAAGAGCAGTGACCCCCTTGGAGTACCCAGAATTCCACATGCATGGCTGTTACCATCTGTTCCCAGATTTGGGGGTTTCCTGGTTCACTTCATGGGGTTCAGTACACTAGGCTCCCTGTTTACATCCTAGTTAGGAGCTGTAAACTTTAGGGGGAAATGTCCTACTATTCCTACAAGCTAGTTCCAAGATTAGTCTTGATTTTCAGAACCTTGTTTTAGATTCACACAACTCCAGCACTGTTAACTGCATGGTGTCCAGCCTTAGCAAGATACTATCCAATTCCAGCTTGGTCCAAACAAAACATAAGATCAACCAGAGAGGGAGGAGACTTCATATGTTGCCAGAAAATTAGTATGCTCTGTCTTTTCTTTCTCCTAGAGTGTTTCACAGCCAATGGTGCAGATTACAGGGGAACTCAGAACTGGACAGCACTGCAAGGCGGGAAGCCATGTTTATTCTGGAATGAGACTTTCCAGCATCCATACAACACTCTGAAATACCCCAATGGGGAGGGTGGCCTGGGCGAACATAACTATTGCAGGTAAGATGGGGCCACAGTAGTTAAAATCTGTGATCTCTTCCAACCCTGCTCATGAGTGGAGAGACCTTCCTTATCTCTTTGTAGCCAATTCAAAAAGCTTTTCTAAAAAAGCTTTAAGCTCAAAAAGCTCTCTCTCTCTCTCCCTCTCCCTCTCCCTCTCCTGCCCTCTCTCTCTCTCTCTCTCTCCTCCCTCCCTGCTACCCTCTCCCTTTCCCTACTTCCCACAAGCTGTTTTCTTTCAACTGTTTTAAACATTCCTATCCTCTCTAATCATTTACTCATTTCTTTCAGAAAGGGGGTGATAGCTGGGCATGGTGGTGCACACCTGTCATCCTAGCACTTGGGACACTGAGGCAGGAGGATCCATGAGTTCGAGCCAGCCTGGCTACAAAGTGAATTCAAGGCTGGCCTGAACTACATACATCATGAGACAAGATGCTGTTTCAACAAAACAGAACTCAAAATAAAACCAAAAACCAGAAAGGAGCTGACTGACTTTAGCAGGGGCTTTTTATTTACTTGTTTTTTATAATTTTGTTTTTGAGACAGGGTCTCACTGTGTAGTTGAGGCTGGCCTTGAGCTCACTGTGTAGCCCAGGCTGGCCTCAAACTCATGCATTTTCTTGCTTCTGCCTCCTCAGTAATGTATTTGACTGATAGGAGCTCTTGATTTCATATCTTGGTGCTTCAAATGTATATTCATGATTTACTTGATATTGTCTGTGGCTTTAATCAAATTCTAAAAGTTTTCTGTGATCAAAACAAGAATCACTGGTATGTGAGAATAAAAGCAAAATTCTAAGTACCTTTGGTTATAACTTTTAGCTATTTATACCCAAGTTCTTGGTAACATAACTTATACTTTAGCAGTGTGTTGAATTGAATCATTATTGGGACATTAGGACAGGGAAAAACTATTGCTGAGCTCCATTCTGAGCTCCATGCTGCCCCTGGTTCTGCTGGTACATTGCATCTGAACCATGTGGCACTGTTGACCTAGCTGCCCCAACACATGTATTCCTGCACTACATGGTCTGTTGTGTTTGTCTTCTGCCCTCCACATATCTTTGCTAGCACTTGGGGGCCCTCATGGTTGACTTGAAGTCACCAGGCCTGCAGGCCATGTTTTCTTTGTCCTTCCATCTTCACTTCCTTCCTTTCTTTACTTCTGTCCCAACTTGTATCAGCTATCCATTGCCTCATAGTTGTTATTACTGTATTATAAAAATTATTATTATGTGCTTGTTATAAATATTTCTCAAACTCTAGAGATATTTATTGTTTAAGTAAAGTCTCCTATTTACCTTTTCTGAAAAACTCTCCCCACCAAGTCCCATCATTTTCTATAATGCTACTTGTCCTTTTGTTGTCTTTTGTATTTTATTGTTGAAGTTACCAATACTCGGTAAACAATTCTCTTTTATTTTCAAAGTTACACACATTAATTTTTACATAAATAAAAATAGCCCTATTCTAAATCTGTTATTCCCCTAATTTTTCTATTAATGGAATGGGTGAGTTAGGCAAAATGTTTATAGACAGAGAAAGGCATGTTTGCTTTTTGTTTTTACATACTTATTTTTCATATATATATATGTATATGAAATATATATATGATACATGTGTATATATATCCCATTTCCTTCCCTCCATTCCTCCCTCCCTCTCTCTCTCCCTTCCTGTCTCCCTTCTTTCATCTGTCCCTTCTATTTTTTTGTGTCAGTCTTGCTAAGTTACCCAGACTGGCTTCAAACAGATCTTCCTGCCTCAGTCTCCAAAGCGGTTGGGATTGTATGCAGGATTGCTCTTCCTCTGCTCCTCCCTCCATTCTTCTTTCCCCCTTCCACTCTTCCTTCTCTTTCCAGTGTTGGAGCTTGAACCCAAGCCCTTGCAATTGCTAGATGAGTACTGTACCACCTACTTACATCCCAGCCCCAAAAAGTTTCTCTTGGTAGTATCTATTGGTTTATTCTATTACTCTGTTAGTTGTAATTATTAAGCAAGTCTTCTCAAAAGAGCCTCTGCCTTTAAAGTCTGACTTTAAGAAAAAAAAATTTCCAATGAGAGTTAATTTACATGAAAATTATTTTTAAAATATCACTTTTCCCTAATAGCACTTATATTTGCTCCCAGGCTCTCAAAAACATACCAGTAAACATTCATTAAGAGAGCAGCAAGGGCCAGGAGCACCTTTCTCCTTAGTCCTGGCTGGCTGCAACACTCTCCTTTGATTCACTGGAATGTACCAGACCTGAATTTCCAGTTCATGCTTCAAAAAAGGAGGCTGAAATTGTTGATGATTATCACATCAGAGTCTAGTCTTTTTGTTTTAGCACTTCCCTGAAGTAAGGATGAATTTGCTTGCTCTTTATGAAGCTGTTCTGATGCTTTTCAGAGTGACTTTGACATTGATAATAAACAGTTGTTTTCTAATGGTTTTATCCAATACTACATCAAAGCTGAACACTGAATAAAGGAGGAAAATGACAATGAAATACTGTTTAAAGAAGGGCTTTGTACAAGTTCTCCTACTTTGATTTCTCAGCTGCCACCTGACACCGTGTTTGTTTTGTGCAACTTTTCAAACCCATCGCATCTCATATTTCTGAGTTGGTGAGTGATGGGAACACTCTGCTGTGCACTGTGCTTGAGGTATCCGGGTCAGAGAAGAAGGCAGAGACTCGGGAAGCGCAGAGTTGGCTTTGCCACCTGGCTTTGGGCACAAGAAATAAAAGAACCCTTTGTACCCTGAGGAAGCTTATCTTTTAGGCCACACAATAAGCTTATCCTTCTCATGCCTGGTAGGGTTTGCTCCCAAACTCTCCATTGCTGGGTCTTTATGTCCATTTCCGGCCCAACCAAAGAATCGGGTTTCCAATATCCTGAGTCTGAATAAAAGGGGTTGAAGGGCAGTGAAGAGAAGCAAGGCTTTTCTGTGGGTCCAGCAGCCCCTGCCATTTGTTGATCTGCTTTAGCTCTGTTGCCTATGGATTCATGGCACCTCTGAGTTGAAAAAAATCTTAAAAAGTATTTAAGATTTCCAACAACTAATATAAAGATAACATCATGCAATACAGCAGCCATTGTTGAATTTCTATCACTTTGTTTAGTAAAATTTTGTTTTGCTTCTATTTTCTTTCCTTCCTTCCTTCCTTCCTTCCTTTTCTTTTCTTTTCTTTTCTTTTCTTTTCTTTTCTTTTCTTTTTTTTTTGCGGAACTGGGGGTTGAACTCAGGCCCTTGTGTTTGCCAGGCAAGCACTTATTCTACTGCGCCATCTCCCTGGACCCTTGTATTGTTTCTAATGCTGGTTTTTAAAAAATTACTATTTTGTATTCTTTAAAAAGTTAAATAAGAAATGGTATTTATTCCAAGCTCCTCTCACTTAGGAATGTGTAAGCGAATCTTTTAAAAAGTATTATTGCTGTATCTGAAGTTAGTGTCGGGTAACAAGATCATGGGTTCTAACTCAAGACTCTGGCACAGTTTCCTTCAGAATTCTCTAGGGGTTCAGTGTTTCAGGAAAGGAGTATGATCCATTTCTAGCAGACATGAGCAGACCAGACTAGTCTTGGTGAAAGCTTATTGGGGGCAGGGGCATATATTATATACATTTTATTGTATTATTCTTTTTTTAAATTTAAAACAAGATAATAGCTAATATATTGCATATTGTTAGAGATAGGCATTTAATTGGCCAAACAACATTAGCACAAACCTTTCTTTTCAATGAACTAAGAGAAATTAATAGTATAACTATCTTAACTGTTGTGTATGTGTGTGTGTGTGTGTGTGTGTGTGTTTCTTTTCCCTTCTTTTTTCCATTCCCACATCTCAGTTTCTCTTTCTTTAAACAGTTTCTTCCCACTTTATAATATGTATTATGGATCTTATTTACTCTTTCAGCTTCTCACATTAGGGAGACAACATGATGTTTACACCCATGTATCTGGTTTATTTCACTTATGGCTCTGGTTTCAGTTGCATCCCTTTACTTATAAAAGTCTCAAGTTTATCCTTCTTTATGGCCTAGTAGTACTCCATTGAATAAAAAAAGCACATCTTTTTTATTCATTCCTTGGTTGATGGGCATTTGGGTTGTTCCCAAGATCTAGATATTAACAAATTGTGCTGCTATAAACATGGGTGTACATACATTACTGTGGTATGATGTTTTTAATTCTTCTGAGAAGATACCCAGAAGGGGAATAGGAGGGTCAAATAGGACCTCCAACCCTAGTTTTTTGAGGAATCTCCACACTGATTTCCACAGTGGTCGCAACAGTCTATACTACCACCAACAATAAAGAAGGATCCTTTTTCCCCACAGCCTCTCCAACATTTGTTATTGGATGATTTCTTAATAATAGCCATTCTTTCTGTGGTGAGATGGAATCTCAGTGTTGTTTTAATTTGCATCTCTTTAAGAAAGGGTGATTTTTTTCATATATTTATTTGTTGTTTGTATTTCTTCATCTGAGAAGTGTGTGATTCATCTTGGATGCCCATTTTGGATTGGATCTTTACATTTGAAAGGTCTGTGTTTTTAGTTCTTTATATATTCTCAGTAGTAATCCTTTAAGGAACAGTTGGCAAACCTTTTTCTCACATTGTGGGTTATTTCTTCACTCTGTTGGTGGTTTCTCTTGCTCTGTAAAAGCTTTGTGATAGAATATTGTGGGACTGTCCTGCTTCAAGGTTGTATATGGTTAGATTTTTGGACTTATGTGTAAACATAAGAAGTATATAATTCTTTATGCCTATTTTTAAAATATATTCTAATCTTTAAATGTTTTTTATCATATTCTGCAGGGACTTAAAGTTCAGCATATCAATACTTGATGAAAAATACCTGTTCCATGTTATGCCTCACATGTTTGATATTCAGACAGACAGTGAGGTTAAGCTTAACAGCCTAAGTTGTATGGTAATAACAATAAGCTTGTTTTCTGGATGGTTAATAACCTAAGTTTGCAGACAAAATTAGAGAAAAAGGAGGGCTGCAAGGAAAGCCAACATTTTGGCCCTAGCCTTCCAAGGTCAATTAAGACTCAGGACATATGAGAACTTGTACTGTTACGTCATGTAACTTGGTAGTGTCCCAAATTTTCTGATCAAGGAGATTATGGGGCCAAAGAGGAAAGTGATCGATGATGTAGAGTGTGCCTAAGAAGAGTCACATGGAGAGAAAACATTCTCTCAGGCTTTCTCAGAGAGCCCATTGGCCAAGCAATGGCCGTGACTCATCTACATGGCTGACACTGACAAAGGTTCTACAATCTGAGGTACAGAATCTCAGGATAAATCCTGAGGGGATTTCACTGACCTTATTAGACCCAAAAGCTACAACTCTTGTTGCATAGGTCTTGCTTTACCTTGTTCTTAACCATCCAGCAGAAAAGCATAAAAACGAAGTACAAGAAGTAAAGCCATGCTGTTATGTTGAGCTGTAGGGGACTCAGGTCAACAATTTCTGACATTGCCAATCAAGTGGAAGACCCAATACTATTGTGGGCTACTGAACTCTTTTAGAATATTTTGCTGAGTTTACACACCTATAATATTCAAAGAACGGAACTTAACAAAAAAAGGGGATACAGATGAATGTCCATTTTGTATCTATATTCAAAGTGGTTAGGATAGATATATAGTTACATTCTCTTAATGAATAGAGGGATTTGTTCTAATGGTGTTTGTAAATAGGATATCATGTTCGCATCTTGTACAGCAATTAACCTCTAGGAAGAATGTATGCAATGTGTTAATTATTGAAACTGTCCTACCAATTTGATTTGAAACTGTCTCATTGCTATTTGTTTCTCAATAAAACTATGGAAAAAAAAGGCTTTGTGATTGTTCCTTTGAGGTCAGGGTTTTATTCATAAAAGTCCTTTACTACACCAGTGTCTTCAAGAATTTTACTTAGTCTATCTTCCATCAGATTTAATGTTTCTGAACTGGCCTGATAGCTCAGCAGACTCAAGTGCCTGCTTAGGCAGAGCACAGCAGCTGGGGTTTGATCCCCAGCGTGACATGCTGGCCCCGTTCCCAGGGCGCGCTGATATGGCAGTTGTGACGGTGTGGTGGCATATGCCTGTAATCCCAGTGCTTGGGAAGCTGAAAACAGGAGAATCACTATGAGACTGACCTATGTAGTGAGACCCTGTAGACCCTGTTCTAAATACAGAAGAAAAAAAAGATTTAATATTTCTGTTTTAATATTTAGATCTTTCATCCATTTCAAATTTACTTTAGTGTATGGTGAAAGATATGGGTACATTTTTAATCTTGGGCATATGCAGAGCCAGTTTTTATAGCACTATTTATTAAAGAAGCTATCTTTCTTTCAGTGAAGGTGTTTGGTCCCTTTCTCAAAGATAAAGTGGTTGAGAATGTCTGGTGTTATTTCTGTATCTTCTAATCTGTTCCGTTGGTCTTCAAGTTGTCGTCATCATCATCTTTCTCCTCCTCCTCCTCTTCCTCCTCCTCCTTTTGACAGTACCATGCTGTTTTTATACAGTAGTTTTATAGTATAATTTTTAGTCATGGATTGTGATGCCCCTTGCCTTGACTTTGTTGCTGAGTTGCCTTTACTGTTCTAGGTCTCTTCTGGTTTCAAATGAATTTTATTATTTTCTGTGATTCCATGAGATATGCTGTTGGAAATTTAATCAGAATTGCATTAAATCTGTATAACAGTTTTGGAAGTATGCCCATTTTGTACTTTACTGTTTTAAAATCACGCAGTTGAGAATATTCACTTGAGGAAGTAATACTAGAAAAGAAAAAAAATTAAGTTACCACCAATTTTACCAGCTAGAAATAAATAAATGTAAGAATTTAGTGTGTGTCTTTTTCTGAATGTTTTTTTCAAAACATAAGATTGTGTCATCTATGGTTTTGTAACTGCCTTTAAAAAGCAAAACAATACTTTTTGTGTTATATCATATACCAACTCCCCACAATGAATGTAATCATTATGTACTACAAACATATATTAATAAAAATAAATTTTAAAAATAAACTAGAAAAAAGTAAAACAAGACATTATTAATATTTCCATGATTATAAGACAGAGCCTCTACAACACATTTTCATTAACCATCTAGTATCCCCTTGTGTGGATATTCTATATTTCTTTAATCGGGCCTTTTTTTTTTTAACTTTTCCATTTACTTTTAATAAGTACATAAGTTAAACTGGTTCCTTTTTCAGGTGACTTTTTTTAAAAAATAATTTTATTGAGAAAAGTAGCAATGAGACAGTTTCAAAACAGGTTAGTAGTACAGTTACAATAATTAATACATTGCATATTGTTGTCTTTGTAGTAATTATTCATAGTACAAGATGCAGACATGATATCTTGTTTTTTTTTTTTTTTAATTTTATTTATTTATTTGTGTGTGTGTTTGTGTGTGTGTGTGTGTGGCCAGCTCAGCCCACCAGGGGGCAGGGCTGGCTGGCATGTGGTGCTGGGGGATTGAACCGCGGTCCCTGTGTTTGTTAAGCTTGTTCTAAGTAGGTGCTTTAGACCACTGAGCCATCTCACCAGCCCCAGACATGATATCTTGTCTACATACTGTTAGCTCAAAACTTCTCATTGAACTAAGAGAGAGCAGCTGTATATCTATGTTACTTTGTGGATGAGTCATGACCATTGCTTGACCAATTTGCTCTCTGTGAAAGCCTGAGAAAATGTTCTCTCTCCAGGTGACTCTCCTTAGGCACACTCTGCATCTATCTATTTTGTATATACAGATATATATATATTTTTTCACTACAAAATGGTCCTTCATTTATATCCCGTTTTTTGTTTACTTTTGTCAGAGATGAGTATTCCATTGCCATTCATTTTTGTAGATGCATGAATTTTCAGTCCTTTTGTTAGGTATTTGCTATTTCCAGCTTCTTCATAGCATAAGAATACTTTGTTGACCATCTTTATAAGTAAAGATTTCCTTAGAGTAAATTCCTAAGGAGGAAATTACCTAGCAATTAGCACTGCTATCCTGGATGTTTGTACTGGTTCATGTTCTCATCAGCAGTGTTGAAAGATGTGTTGGAAATTTAATCAGAATTGCATTAAATCTGTGTAACAGTTTTGGAAGTATGTCCATTTTGTACTTTACTGTTTTAAAATCACACAGTTGGGAATATTCACTTGAGGAAGTAATACCAGAAAAGAAAAAAAAAAGTTACCACCAATTTTCTTAGCTAGAAATAAATAAATGTAAGAATTTATTTATTTCCTGTGTTCATTCAGCTGTCTGAATTTCCATGTTCAAATACCATGGGCCAGGCATCTGACATGATTGCTTTAGTGATACTCCTTATAGCATAGTGAATTTGTTTTCACCTTTGCTCACTTCTCCCCAGCCTCTGAAGGACATGTCAGAGTGGAAAGATTTGTTCTCATAGCATTACCATGTTTTCCTTCTGGATAAGAGGTGCCATTGAGACATATACCAATCATTAGAAATAACACTGAACCTGAATGTTCTGTAAAACTGAAAAATAATGAACTAGCTTACTTAAACATTAACACTGTCATTGATTGTGTTCTTGTCCCCAATAGAAACCCAGATGGAGATGTGAGCCCCTGGTGCTATGTGGCAGAGCATGAGGATGGGGTGTACTGGAAGTACTGCGAGATTCCTGCCTGTCAAAGTAAGACTCGTGCGTATCTGATTGTTTACAAGACCTGAGCCCTAAGTGCACTATGGAGGTCCTCTGCCAGAGGTCAGGGAATTCAGGTTCAAGGATTTCATAAGAAGGTGCAAGGAGAAGCCATTGGTCTATGGTTTTTTAGTTCTTTTGTTGAGGCTTTTCAGGAATACCATTACTTGTTTTTTTTATACCCTATTCCGTGTGTGTTTTCCACATGGGTAAAGCACGTGAAATTCCTTTAGTTGACTAACTTTTAGTTAATTTCTTCATGCTGATGTTTTCATAGATAGAGAGGGCAGCAGTTCCTTAGCAAGCTAGAGGGGGAGAAAAGATGTCCTATACTTTTTCAAGTGAAGTTTTGGGAATAAGTTTTTTGGGATGAACTTCTTTCAGCACAGTGAAACTAAGACTATTTTTCTTGACTTGGAACAGGTTCTATGAAAAATGATACTTGGTAAATAACTTGTTAAATACTATGTAGTCCATATGATAGTTCTTTTACCCACATTAGCATAAAGGCCACTTTTATTTTATTTTTAATTTTTTTATGTATTTGGTACAGGGTCTCACTATGCAGCTTGGACTCATAATGATTCTCCTGTTTCAGCCTCCCTAGTGCTGGGATTACAGGCGTGCAACAGCTCGCCCAGTCTTGGTGGCTGGCTCAACATTCCTGGGGCAGCATGTGGTATAAGGGGCTCAAACCCCAGTCCTTGCGCTTGCCTAGGCAGGTGCTTATGTTACTGAGCTATCTTCACGGCCCAAGGACATTATTTTAGGGAGATGGCTCAGTAGAATAAGTGCTTGCCCAGCAAGTGCAAGGGCCTGAGTTCAATCCCCAGTTCTGAAAAAAAAAGATAATAAATGATGCAGTTTCTCCAGTCTTTCACCAGGAGATTTATTTTTAGTTTTGTTCACTCCTATATTCAGTGCTTATTATGTGCAAAATAAAAGACTAAAGGACAGCTGGCCCTCAGGTAGTATATGAGATAGAGGGACTCTTAAAAAAGATATTTTAAAACAAGGTAGAAAATATTGTGGAGAAATTTTAGGAAAGCTTTAAAGAATGGAAACTAAAACCAAATCTGATACTACAATTATCTTTTGATATCTGAGAGGAATCTGTTCTAGGATCCTTGTTGGCACCAAAATCTGAGGATGCTTAAGTCCTTATGTGAAATGGAATAGTGTTTGCATTGAACCTTTGCACATTTTCCTGTATGTTTTAGGTAGTCTCTTAGTTACTGATACTACCTAATAGAATATAAATGCTGCATAAATAGTTGTCATAAAGTATTGTTTAGGGAATACTAATAAGAAAAATAACGTATATATAAGTTCACTATATATGTAGAGCTCCTCTGCCCCCCACAAATGTTTTGAATTTATGGTTGGTTGAAACTGTGGATATGGAACTTATAGATGTATAGCCCTGGATATAAAGGGCAGGCTGAATTAAAAAGTTATTAATGTAGATTTCATATATATATATATATATATATATATATATATATAGGCTAGGCATATATACATAGGTTAGGCCCATGCCCTATAATCCCAGTACTTGGGAGGCTGAGGCAGGAGGATTACAAGTTTGAGCCCAGCATGGACAATTAGTGATTTAGCAAAACCCTGTCACAAAACAAAAATAACTGGGGATGTAGCTCAATGCAGAGTTCTTGGGCTTGCTTTCCAGTACTACAGAAGAACGGGTAGGGGTGAGTAACATGGGAGTGGGCAACCGCACCAGTGCTGCAGGCCCTGTATTTGCTTCTGTAACTCAAACTTCCGAGTATCTCCCCTGCCTGGCAGCTAGGCCAGCTTCACTATCCTTCCAACCTGAGTATGCCTTAATTCAGTCTCTAAATTGAGAAAACTACAAAGACCAGAATAATGGGCTTTTTCTCAGTCTGCTTAATCAACTTTTTAAAATGAAAAAACTTCTCATTTGGCTCCACTTGTATGAAGAAGAAAGGGGCAAGGGAGAGGAAAGCAGATTTTCCTCGGTCCATTTGTTCTACACAAAGATGGTCTTTTACTACCAGCTTGTGTCATTCTCCTGGGGATGGTGAAGAGGGATTTCAATCTGGGCATTTTTATTCAGAAAGATAATCTTCAATTTGCATTTCTAAAATATAATTTGGACTGGTAGCAGCTGATTCATATGGTTATTGAAACTGAGTTCCAAAAGAATTATAGCAAAATAATACTAACCACTAAGTATATGTAATTTGTAATATTTGCTGGGTATCCTTCACTATCTCAGAAAAGGAAAGTTAAAAACTGTTTTCATTGCTTCTGGCTCTTTGATGCTTATTCAACTGGTGTCAGCAGAGAGGCTTACAGAAGGTGGGAATGTGAACTCAGTAGTACCCTGTCTGTGGAACAGAGGATGAACTGTATAGCTATGGTTCTTTAAAAAATCCTTATATTCACCTGTGGATCCTGGGCTCCCCGTCAGCCGAGCTTTAGACCTTGCTCCTGGTATGCCTATTTAATATAGTTGAGGAAAAACTCTTGTGCTATTTGCAACAAAAGACTTTGGTAATAGCCTTGTGAATTTAACAGAAATACAGTTTGCCTATTTTAGGCAAATTTTGCTTTCTTTCTGGATATGGAGTCATAGATTTCATGACTAATACCATCTGTGTAAAGCCTGCTATTCATGATTAGCACTGAACTTGTCATACAGGAAAAGGCCTGTGACATGATCAGGTTCCTGGAAAGTTCATATCTGAATATAACAGGCCCAGCAGGAGCTGAGGGAATGAAAGTTGAGGGACAAAGCAGAATTGGGTTGAATGGTGGGCCATTGTGTAGAGACCGGAATCTCTGCCCTTGATGAGTTACGAGAAGGGCTACAACAAGCAGGAGGCAGAGATGAAGTATGATTCCAGAGTGCACAGAGAGAAATTTGAATGTTGCTGTGAACCTGCAGAGCATGGATCAGAACTTAGTATTAAAAGGAGAACAATTCTGATGTTACTAGACTTGCCCCTCATATGCTTCTGCCATAATGTTTCTCAGGAACTCTGAAGTTCTTATTGCACCCAGGAAAAATACAGATTTTAAAAGCAAACTCCAACATCATCAATTTAACATCTTTATAGATCGCACTCTCAAGCAAAGTCCTGTTGGTTTGACTTTTTAGGGGAAAAATCATTTGGTTTAACAGCTTTTACATATATCTCGTGTGTTGAATAATCATTTCACCATAGTAATTCCTTTTATTCCGTTGTTTTTGAGAGACATGCTTCGGTGGATCTTAGGATGACTTTTAGTTTATCTGTAGCTTCTTTATAAAAGATTTATGGGGTTTTCAAAAGTAAATAATGTACTTATGAATGGGGAAATAGTCTGAAAATAACATTTTTTAAAAAATTTTATTTATGTGTGTGTGTGTGTATGGCCAGCTCAGCCCAGCAGGGGGCGGGGCTGGCTGGCATGTGGTGCTGGGGGATTCAACCGCGGTCCCTGTGCTTTGCTAAGCTTGTTCTAAGTAGGTGCTTTAGACCACTGAGCCATCTCACCAGCCCCTAATAAGTTTTTTTTTTTTTTTTTTTTCTCCGAATGCCCTCAGGGGTGGTTTGGCTGGCTGGAGTGTTGTGGGGATCGAACTACAGCAACCTGAGGCTGACAGCTTTGTGGAAGCAGCCACTTAAACAACTGAGCTAAGGCCAGCCCCCCTGAAAATAACATTTAAGGATAATATATTTTTCCATTTCACATAGCTGACTGGGCTGGATGTCATTAGGCATGAAAGAGTTACCTTCTCATCTCTGAAAGCTATTTTATGTTTGCTAAAAAAAAATTCACCTACAAATCTAGCTATATAAATTCTTTTTTAAAAAAATTTATGTATTTAGTACAGGGTCTACAGGGTCTCACTACACAGATCAGACTCATAGTGATTCTCCTGTTTTCAGCCTCCCAAGTGATGGGATTATAGGCACGGGCCACCATGCCCAGTTTCAATCGCCATCTCAGTGCGCCCCAGGGGTAGAGCCGGCACAGCATGCTAGGGAATCTGCTGAGCTATCTGGCCAGCCCTAATTATTTTTCAAACAGGGGAATTTGAATATAGATTATTATATTAAGAAATTACTGTTAATTTTATTAGCTACAGTAAAGATATGAACTGAACATCGTGTCACAAGCCTGTAATTTCAGCATTTGCAAGGCCTCCGCAGGAGAATCACTGTGAATTTGAGGCCAGTGTGGGCTACGTAGTGAATTCAAGGTCAACCTCAACTAGACAGTGAGATGCTGTCTAAAAAGCAGAAATAATAAACAGGTGTTTAAAATTTTAGATACCTAAAGAAATATTTGTTTGAAATGCTATTATATCTGGTACTTATTTTGAAACAATCCAATTCTTCAAAGAGTTGGGTGGGTGAGGTTAAGAGAAATAGATGAAACAATTTTTGACAAATAGATGAAATTGGTTGATACTGGATGATAGATTCATTATTCTTGTCTACTTTTGTGTATATTCAAAAGTTGGTGTTAAAAAGAAAATTTTGCCCAGCATGTTGGTGCATGCCTGTAATCCCAGCACTCAGGAAGCTGAGAAAAGAAGATTACCAGGATTTTGAGCCCAGCTTGGGCAATATAGTGAGTTCAAGTCTAGCCTGGACCACATAGCAAGACCCTGTTTCAAAAATATTTTTTTCAAATAATTTTCTAGTATTTTAAATATTTAAATATATATAAAAGTCATAGAGTATGCAGATTTAAATATGTAACACAATTAATCCAAACCATTATATTTCGTTTGTTTTGCAGTGCTAGGGATCAAACCAAAGCCTCATGCATGCTAGACAAGTGCTGTATCACTGAGCTATATTCCCAGCCCCATACTAGTTTTATATATAGCTCACATGCATCTGAATTCATTGTTGAAGTTAGTTATTAATGTTGTAGTTGCTAAACTTATAAAGCTGTTATTCAAAGTTATTAAAACTATTGAAGTATTTTTTATAGTTACTTATTTTAAGTTG